TCCTCACTGCCTGGTGGAAGAAGCTTTCTCTGAGCCTACTGGTTCTGGCCCGGAGACTCTGCAGCCTCCTCCCGGACGGCAGCAAGGTGAAGACATTGTGGGCGGGGTGGGTGGGGTCACCTGCGATCCTGGTGGCTCTGCCGGTGAGGCGGGAGTGATAAATGTCTAATAGAGAGGGGAGGGGGACACCGAGGATCTTCCCAGCTGCTTTCACGGTATGCTGCAGTGTCTTGCGGCAGGCTGCAGTGCAGGCTCCGTACCACACGGTGATGCTGCTGGTCAGGATGCTCTCGATGGTGGCCTTGTAGAAGGAGTGCAAGATGGGCGGCGGGGCTCCTGCTCTCCTCAGTTTCCGCAGGAAGTAGAGTCTCTGTTGGGCTTTATTGGCCAACAGACCAGGACCAGGATTTCCCACTTTTTGTCATATGACCCTAAAAATACCAATGCTAAATATTGGCAACCCTCTAAAAAGACATGTTTCACTCAGTATTTATATACAAATATAGTGAAGTAACTATATACATTTATTGTTTAATGTGACATTTAATTTATCATTATAAATGTATATGTGGTATGTATTGGAAAATTTAACCAATAAAGAGCATTTTATGATTTAATGGTTCATTTACAGTAATAATTAAATCAATATAAAGCAAATGTTACCATCCACCACAACCCTGATCTAAATATTTTGTAGATGTATTATTTTGGATAAAAAATTTGTATTTTTAAGTATTAAATAAAACACTATTAAACAGTTTTCCAAAATGAATAAATCTGATTTCTTACTTTTATTAAGCTATATCTAGACTGTAGAGGAACTCTGGACCAGAAGTATTTGTTCCCCAACAATCATATCAAAGACACACAAACAATATAATGGTAATCTGATGTAGAGGTCCAAGATGTTAACACTCAGCTCTTTAGGTCTGCTCATAATAAAGATGAAAAATGGCCTCTTGGTGCTTGGCCTCTGCCTCTCTGTGCATGTCAGAGCAACTGAGTTTGGGTTTCTGTTTGAGCCTCTGTTGTTTCTTTGGTCTCCGTCTGTATCTTGGCTCAAGCTCGCTCAGGGAAAATGTGAAACAATCAGAGGCAAATTGCCACACGGCGCACACAAGTGGAAGGGGAAGTGCTCACACGCTCTCAAAGGGCGTTCGCTGGCAGTTTGCGAGCAGCAGCCTGCTGATGGATGTGAAGCAGAAATGATACACACTGATAGCGCTATGCCTGTTTCGGTCCCCTTGAAAGATAGATGGTGGAGGGGAGTGAGTGCTGCCGCTTGAGTCAGAGACGACACCTTTTTTTTTTTTTTGCAAAGCGATTGGCAACGGGGGCCCAAAAATAATGTATTCAGGGCACCCTTCATAACTGGAGTACCCTTTAAAACACTTCTGGAAATAGCCTGGAAAAGATGCATGGCCTCAACCGCTGCCAGCTCACTGTTGTAAAAGCAATACTTCGAGACACACTGATGTTTTCTATCTGATGCGTAATGGAGTAAGAAAATAACTCTGGCAAAACTGGCACCTCAGGTTAAGTATGGTCCAGCGTGAAATCTGTTTGCAACAATGATGAGTATCAGCATTGTTCTCGGGCTCCGAGTTGCCACGTCAGCTCCCACCTAATGGAGAGGTGCAACACAAACTGACAGGAAGTGAGGCTCACGGGCGTGTGAAGTCAACAAGGAGCAGGTTTTTATTTAGATGACTGTTTAATGAATGTTTTGTTATCGCCAACCGTGGCTGTTCCACATTGCTTAGTTTTGGCTAATGACCCCTTATCTGGACGTGGCTAATTGGGACAACCTGGTTGATTGATGGGGATGTTTGTAATGAGGTGAATTATGCATGTACGGCATGTGGCACAGGATTTTGCAAGCCTAATTTGATGGCTGTTATATTCACACAGAACACAGGATGTGTGGTTGAGCAATTAGAAGTAGAACATGATGATTTACATACATATTTTTTTTGCCTTTCAGCGATGGATAGCGTGCTGGATCTCGAGTACATTTCCCCCTCCCTCCTTTTTGTAACTGCTGACAGGTTGCACCTGTTCTCGCCCGCTATGGCCAGATGGACAATTCTCCATTACACCTGCCCCGCTTGGTGACATCACCCGCTTTGTACCCAGCCTCAGCGCTGGCATCTGAACATGCACATATACACTCACCACTGGAGTCCACGGAAACCCCGTCTCTAAACCTGGCACCAAATACACAGTTTAGTACAATAAGCATGCAAGTAATTAATATTGTTTTGCACACTTTATCATTTCTCTTGCATATAAATCTCCTCCCTGGTTTATATCAGAAATGGTAAATTAAGAAATTGCATCTACATTGGTGTCAAGACAAGGTGTTTTTTTCATAAAACTTTCCTTGAAATTTTATTGATAATAAAGTAATTTTATTCAAAAGACCGCCCTAAAAAAAGTTAAAAATTTATTAAAATGTTGCATGCAGGTCTCAAGGATACCATAAACAAATATATTAACCTTTGCTTACCATAAAAACTATGCAGGGTTATATGTATATTTACAAACTTTGACTAAATTGTTGGTAGCTTTTCACAGAAACAACTTTAAGACAAAGGTAATAGTAAAGTAAAATTATATGAAACTGAATAAATGAAAGTCAGACATGACTTTTTAGCCATACTTCAACAAACTGAATTTAATAATGTCACTCATAAAACAGGCATGGAAAAAAGATTGGTACCCTTAACCAAAGATTTTAATGGTTTTCAACAATGGTGTCCTACTTGTTGTCTTCTATTAAGTCAACTTTGGCCCAAACAACAATGGATGATGCGATCTGACACTCATGTTCCAGGAGCTTAAAGTCACCTTTAAATTTTTAAGAAGTTTTTCTTGGCTCTTTCATTACCATCCGTATTACCCATCTCTTTGATTCCTCATCAATTTTCCTCCTGCCGCCACGTCCGAGGAGGTTGGCTACAGTCCCATAGATCTTACCTTTTTGAGTAACTTGCAAAGGTGCGACTGCAGTCACAGGAATATCAGGATGCTTGTTATGACATGCCTGTCTATAATTTTATATTTAACCTCCTGAGTGAACTCTTTCCTTCCCTTCACCTTGTCCTTGTTGAGTGCGGTAAACACCATGTCACCAACCAGCAAAGTATTCAGTGGACACAACTTGTTTTAATATGGACCTTCACCCGCTATATTTTCAATCTTATATAGAAGTACCATCATATATATATATATATATATATATATATATATATATATATATATAT